TGAGTCACAAAAGAAATTGTTTCCACAATACAACTTTACTGTTTAAAGTCACAGTGTCTACTACTTGTGCAAAATTGTCAAGATTAGAAGTTTTTAGTTAATAAATACACTGTTAGCTTTTATTGCCTCTACTGAAAATATCTGATTAGGATGGTGTTGTCCTTACACCTACTGATAATTTAATTGTGGGAAAACATTAGAATTTTTTAAATTTGTATTGATAAAATACATTTTCGTGATTTAAGTAATGGCTAGCATACAGCCCGTCAAAAATGACGGGGCAAGTACTACCACCCCTACCCCATAGTATACCCTAACCTCACATTTAATAGCTAACTGAAATGTGTAAATTTTGCAAAACCAAGCTTGACCAACAAAGAAGCAGAAAAGTGCTGTCCAGGTAGTCAAACATAAGTAACTTCCTTTTTGATCAAATTAAAATTAAGATCATTCATGAAATGAATTCATGGCATATTCATAAAATAATTAATGGCGAAAATCAGATTAACAACTTCTAAGATATAGAAAACTCCGCGTGTTTTGGTAACGCTATGTTCTAACAATGGCATGTTGCTTAGCAAAAATTATAACCTAATATTGTTGGTGTAGGTACTGAACATATAAAATGATGTATATAGACAACAAAACTGGAAAAATATTTGTTGATTTCTTAATTTAAGCGTCTCTGTTGATTAAAGAGGTTTGTTTTTTATTGAAAACGTTGGTAATATAACAGAAAATAGCTTAATTCAGAAACATTTTAAGTTTAAAATTGAATCTATTTTTACTTTCATGATAAATTTTGCGCGCTTGGCTCTAGGCTAGATGATCCCACACAGTGTCTTTACTTTAGGCTTATTATACTGTTACGCCTCCAGTCGTTACTTAATTTTCCGTAACTTCGTTCTGACGAAACTTTAGCGACACAAGTCCTTTTTTTAAATAAAGCAGGTTTATTCTTTCCGAATACAACTTTACGATACACTTAATTTCAACAGTCGCT